GAGCATGAAAAGAAATATCTTTACCAACATGGCGTAGGAGTGCCTTGCCAATACTGTAGTCAGAAAGATAGGCAGTAGAGGAAGTCAGTCGTAAAGTGAAGAATTTAGTCCATTGTGCAGTCTGAAACTGAGCGTGGAAAGGTAGTGAAGGACTGTCGATCTTTTCTGAGAAGAACGAGAAGTGGAGAAGTATCATCAGCAGGTAATTGTCGTTGTCGTTTAGGCGTGGGACCAGAGTTGGTCCGACGTGGAATGGGCCGGCGATTCGAAAATTGCCGCACCGTAGAGGGAGAGGCCGGAAGCATAGTCAGAGGAGAGCGAAGGTCAGATAAATCGAAGGAGTCAGTCAAGGCCTCAGTACCTGAAGCAGGTGAGAAAACAGCACCGGCAAGAGGTACAGAGACATGAGGAGTGTCCGAAGAGTGGTCCAAAGACGAGGCGGGGTCAGAACGGGGTGCGGTATCAAGAAGGGGCCCGGGGGTAGCAGGTTCATGGACTAGGGCTGCCATGGTTAGGTTACTTCTTTCTTTTTGTTTTTAAGAAAAAAAAAGAAAGAAGAAAAGAAAATAAAAATAAAAAAAAATAAAAAAAGGGGGGACCGGGGAGGGATAGTTCCTAGGAGGAATGAAAGGGCCAGAAATCTCCCTCCACGCCCAAGAGGACCTCAGCACCGCAAGTAGTGCAGATGCAGCATGGAACCCGTGCCATACCCTACCCATCATGCCAGTAAACCGGCAATCCGGGATAGCAACCTCACATCTGCCGAGCTACCTCGGTGGACAAAGGAGAGGGCGGCCGGAAATCCGCCACAAAGCATACCTCCTTCGGCCACCACCCCCGGAACCCGAAAGGTGGCTTCCAGAGATACACCCGTCGCCCGAGAGACACCCAAAGCCACCTTCCGGGATACCGGAGAGGGATCAGGACATCCCCAGGCAATCCAGATTCCACGGCAAACTACGCCACCGCCAAGAACCTCAATGGAATGGGATGGACCCCGGTACCCTTTCCCCTACCTAGGAACTAGCGTGCCTGTGGGGGAAAAAAAAAAAAAAAAAAAAAAAAGCGGCCAAAAAGGAAGGGCAAAAGGGAGGGGTGGGGAGGAGTAGGAGGAACGGAAAAGGGGAGGATGGGATAGGGAACGGGGGATTGGGGGGTAATTAGGTTCGGTCTGAGGAAGCAGACCGACAGGTCTAATTCCTCAGACCAAGAGCCTCTTCACCACGCCAAGGAGCCCCCCTTGAAGAGGTTCTCTTGTGTAGCGCATATGGTACCCAGGTGTCCCCAATTTTTTTTCATATGGCGCACAGTGAGTGCGCACACCCATTCTCTCATGTCTAGGTGACTCAGGCTTATCGTGCCAATGTTGAATGAATGACAAAGGAAATGTATATATACGTTTGGGGCGCTATGTGAGAGAACGTATACGTATGTTTGGACCGTTAAAGGGTTAAGGACCACCAGCAGTTGTGTGGTACCGTAAGGACCACCAGCAGTTGTGTGGTACCGTAAGGACCACCAGCAGTTGTGTGGTACCTTAAGGACGACCAGCAGTTGTGTGGTACCTTAAGGACGACCAGCAATTGTGTGGTACCTTAAGGACCACCAGCAGTTGTGTGGTACTTTAACCCTTTCAGGATTTCCGACGTACTAGTACAGTTTACGCGTCAGGGTTATTGACGTACTAGTACGCGTAAATTCTAACGCCTTCAAATCTAGCGAGAGAAAACTAGTAGGCCTATACAGTGGACCCCCGCATAACGATGGCATCACATAGCGATTTTTCCGCATACCGATTACTTTTATCGCAAAATTTTTGCCGCGCATACCGATTAAAAACCCGCTTACCGATTTTCGTCCGAGACGCGTCCAATGTGCCCTCACATGTGCCGGCCGTCCCATTGTTTACCAGCCAGCCTCCGCGGTAACATCCAAGCATACACTCGGAATATTTCGTATTATTACAGTGTTTTCGGTGCTGTTTCTGGAAAATAAGTGACCATGGGCCCCAAGAAAGCTTCTAGTGCCAACCCTGTGGTAAAAAGGGTGAGAATTAGTATGGAAATTAAGAAAGATTTTGAAGGGTTTGGGGCTAACCCTGAGAAGCCTATGCCAGTTGTGGAATCCATTGTGCCACTTCAAAGATTAAGGAAATGTGTGCACAGTGGGTTGAACTGCAAACCTTTATAGATGAAAAATCACCCTGACACAGCTGTTGCAAGCCGTGCTGGTGACTATTTCAATGACAATGTTATGGCCCATTTTAGGAAAGTCTTGAAGAACGGGAGGTACAGAGCTCTATGGACAGATTTGTTGTGCGACAGAGGTCCAGTGACTCTCAAGCTGGTCCTAGTGGCATTAAAAGAAGAAGGGAAGTAACCCCAGAAAAGGACTTGCTACCTCAAGTCCTAATGGAAGGGGATTCCCCTTCTAAACAGTAAGAAGATAATGCTCTCCCCTCCTCCCATCCCATCAATCATCACCAGATCTTCAATAAAAGTAAGTGTCATGTAATTGTGCATGCCTTTTTCAGTTTGTGTGTATTAAAATTAACATTTCATGTGGTAAAAAAAAATTTTTTTCATACTTTTGGGCGTCTTGCACGGATTAATTTTATTTCCATTATTTCTTATGGGGAAAATTCATTCGCATAACGATTATTTCGCATAACGATGAGCCCTCTTGCACGGATTAAAATCGTTAACCGGGGGTCCACTGTATATGAAAGAATGATAGACGTCTATGTGGTCAGTGTGCATAGTATAAAAAAAATCCTGCAGCACACAGCGCATGAGAAAAAAAAAACTCTGACCGTGTTTTTGGTTTAAAACAGCAACTTTACAGTGTATTTTTGTATGCTATTTATGGTTGTATTCAAGTTTTCCTGGTCTCATTTTATAAAATGGAAGACATGTTACAGAAATTGAGATGATTTTGATTGGTTTCATAATGAAAAGTACCTTGAAATTGAGCCCAAAGTAGCAGAAATGTTCGATTTTTACCAAAGTTCAAAAGTAAACAAAACATGTCAAGCGTCCAATACACGTCAACTGGCGAGTCTAATATTCTTTCACAAGTGCACTGATATTATTTATACCATTTCTACACTAATACAGTAGTTTGCATAACAGTAAATCTTCTATTTTTTGTGAGAATAAAAAGCAAAGTGGAAAGCAAATGAGATGTAAGAGAGGCATGGGGACGTGACTAATGAACAGAGAAAATGTTATTTTAGTGCCAGGAATGTCTGTCTTGTTTATTCTGGACCCTATTTGGAAATCGGCATCTTTTGAAATTTGTGTGAAATTAGCAAAATTGCCAATTTCTGACCACTTTATTGGACAGTTGAAATCAGTAAATGGATGGTTTCTTGTACTCATTCAATAGAAAAAAATGGAGTTCTAGCAAAATAGTTATGATTTTTGTCGACTAGTACACTGGAATTGGCCGAAAATAGGGCTCAAAGTGGGCGAAATCGCTGATGCGTAAACATTGTCAAGACTGCTAACTTCACGAGAGCATAATTCCGTAAGTTCTCCATCAAATTTCATACTTTTGGTGTCATTATGATCGGGAAAAGATTCTCTATCATTTCATGAGATTTTTTTTTTTCCGAAAATTTTTTGACCCTGAGAATGAGTTTAGGAGAGGGCCTCTTAACCCTGAAAGGGTTAAGGACCACCAGCAGTTGTGTGGTACCTTAAGGACCACCAGCAGTTGTGTGGTACCTTAAGGACCACCAGCAGTTGTGTTGGTATCTTAAGGTTTCACCAGCAGTTGTGTGGTATTTAAGGATCACCAGCAGTTGTGTGGTACCTTAAGGACCACCAGCAGTTGTGGTATCTTAAGGACCACCAGCAGTTGTGTGGTACCTTAAGGACCACCAGCAGTTGTGTGGTACCTTAAGGACCACCAGCAGTTGTGGTATCTTAAGGACCACCAGCAGTTGTGTGGTATCTTAAGGATCACCAGCAGTTGTGTGGTATTTTAAGGATCACCAGCAGTTGTGTGGTACCTTAAGGACCACCAGCAGTTGTGGTATCTTAAGGATCACCAGCAGTTGTGTGGTATTTTAAGGATCACCAGCAGTTGTGTGGTATTTTAAGGATCACCAGCAGTTGTGTGGTATCTTAAGGACCACCAGCAGTTGTGTGGTACCTTAAGGACCACCAGCAGTTGTGTGGTATCTTAAGGACCACCAGCAGTTGTGTGGTATCTTAAGGACCACCAGCAGTTGTGTGGTATCTTAAGGCCCACCAGCAGTTGTGTGGTATCTTAAGGACCACCAGCAGTTGTGTGGTATCTTAAGGACCACCAGCAGTTGTGTGGTATCTTAAGGACCACCAGCAGTTGTGTGGTATCTTAAGGACCACCAGCATTGTGTGGTATCTTAAGGACCACCAGCAGTTGTGTGGTATTTAAGGACCACCAGCAGTTGTGTGGTATCTTAAGGACCACCAGCAGTTGTGTGGTACCTTAAGGACCACCAGCAGTTGTGTGGTATCTTAAGGACCACCAGCAGTTGTGTGGTATCTTAAGGACCACCAGCAGTTGTGTTGGTATCTTAAGGACCACCAGCAGTTGTGTGGTATCTTAAGGAACACCAGCAGTTGTGTGGTACCTTAAGGACCACCAGCAGTTGTGTGGTATCTTAAGGACCACCAGCAGTTGTGTGGTATCTTAAGGACCACCAGCAGTTGTGTGGTATCTTAAGGACCACCAGCAGTTGTGTGGTATCTTAAGGACCACCAGCAGTTGTGTGGTATCTTAAGGACCACCAGCAGTTGTGTGGTACCTTAAGGACCACCAGCAGTTGTGTGGGTATCTTAAGGACCACCAGCAGTTGTGTGGTACCTTAAGGACCACCACAGTTGTGTGGTATCTTAAGGACCACCAGCAGTTGTGTGGTATCTAAGGACCCCACAGTTGTGTGGTATCTAAGGACCACCAGCAGTTGTGTGGTACCTTAAGGACCACCAGCAGTTGTGTGGTATCTTAAGGACCACCAGCAGTTGTGGTATCTTAAGGACCACCAGCAGTCATATGGTCAGTGTAAAGGAGCAATAAGAGCATCAAGTGATCAATGCAGAGCTACTGCTCCTACAGTGTTGACTAACACACAGTTTACATGATCACTGCACAGCTACAATTCCCCCAGTGTAGATCAGCACTGAGCTTCACCTGATCACTGCAGAACTAGTGTTGCAACATTCCCTGCTTCCATGGTGTTAAGCTATACTTCAGCCAAAGCAACAGATAGCATTAATAGCATAATATACAGATACATGTAATATAATCCTCCTTAGTAAAGAGCTATACATCTTGGATAAATACAGTGCGACAAATTATCACAATAGAAGGTCTGTACATTATCTGGAACACAAAACTATAAAAATATACTGATAAAGAACTGTTTCCTTATACTATTTGGCATATACACCTGCCCATCAGCTGGCTCCCACCACTAGAGTGCACTATATGTCCAGAGTCACCCTGAATGCTAATGATGGTAATATTACTGACAAAATGTTAGGTAAATGGACACAGATGCAACTAATGTGATATTTTATTGTGGCAATGTTTTGCTCTCTAAGAGCTTGTCAAAGCTCCTGGTAAGCAAAACAGTGCCACAATAAAATGTTATATTAGTTGCATACTGAGAACATGGGGCTAGTAACCCCATCACCTGCTTAAATTACTAAATGTTAAAAGAAAAACATTCATTTTTCTTGTTAGGTCACCCTGCCTCAGTGGGATATGGCCAGCGTGTTAAAAAAAAAATGCATCTGTGTGCATTTACCTAACATGGTGAATGATAGCAGACAGGGGAGCGAGTGATGCCTGGGTGGAAACCTGTTCATCTTGGAGGTATGTACACACCACTGTGGTGGTACACTTCAATAATACCTCCAAGATACAAATATAATAAATTAAAACCAGGTGAATGATTGAGCCCGAGCATGTTGAGGGGATCAGTTGAACAATACAGACTCTGGGTCCTCGCTCTCCAGGAACTTAATGTGGCGTAGAACGTCCTTCTTGGTGATAATCCCCAACAAGCGTCTGCAAGAAAAATGAAATGTTTGTTTTACTCAACACACTTTACCTTCAACCACAATTATAAGAACTATCAAGCACGATCAACAGCTACCTTTAATGCATGCCAGATGATAATTGTTAGAAATACTCATTATTAATATGACTGTCAACACACAAAACCATTAGAATCATAATGCTATATGCCGTAAGTACAGAAGAATCAGAGATGAATGAAGGGAAAGCGAGGAAGGCAATGAATAGAATGAAATTGGGTGAAGCAGTTAGGAAAAATGGGATTTAGATTGAGCCATGGAGGTGGGAAGTACAGTGCCTGAACTGTGGAAGAGGGGTGGAAATATGCTGCAGTTTTTGAACTGTAGCATCATCACACCTCTGGCAGGACAGTGGGAAACAGCTGATATGTAAAAAAGAAAAAAAAAAAAATGCAGGTTGGGATATAGTTTAAAAGTGGTAGGTGCATGTTTTCGCATACAGTGGAACCTCAGCTTACAAACGCCCCACCATGCGATTTTTTTCAGGATATGGACTGTCGTTTGGTCGATTTTTTGCTTCTGGATACGGAGGAAATTTCAGGATGTGAACTTCCCCCCTCAAGACCAACAAGGGGGTGGCACAGCCATATACTACTCAGACCAACTAGAATGTATCACTAATACTTGCACAAGAGATGAACATGGGGAATATATAATAGCCAAATTCAAATCCAAATACCTACGAAAACCTCTCACATTGATAAACATCTACAGAGTTCCACAGTCAAACATTAGCCAATTTAGTCAAAACCTAGGAAGTATGATAACTGATGCACGCATGAACAAAGATCACTTACTACTCTCAGGTGACTTCAATATAAATCTCCTGCAAGACCAGGACCCACACGTTACTGAATTCACAAACACAATGAGTAACTGTATGTTGCTACCAACAGTAACAAAACCTACAAGAGTTACAGAGACTAGTGTTTCCCTACTTGACCACATCTGGACCAACACCATATCCCCTTTAAAATCAGGCATAATTACAGATAATACCACAGACCACTACCCTACTTTCCTCATAACAACTCTTGGTAAATTACCCCAAGACACTACTAAAGTCACCTTCAGACTTCACAATTGAGGCAGCCATTAATAACTTCACAACAGCATTAGCAAACATTGATTGGCACACTGAGCTAGAAATCAATACAGATATTGACGAATGTATTAATAATTTTCTAAAAAGACTCAATACCTCTATAACAAGCACTGCCCTAAAAAAACTAAGCAGATGACAGCTAAGAGACTGAACAGTCCCTGGCTAACACCCAGCATTCTCAAATCCATAAATACAAACACCAATATGAAAAACAGTACAGAATGGGTCACATAACCAGAGACCAAACAAAACGTTACTCGTCAATCCTAACCAGCCTGATAAGAAGGGCAAAAAAATTGTATTATGAGAACAGATTATCCAACTTACGAGGTGATATAAAAAAGACCTGGAAAACCCTATCAGAAATTCTGGGAACAAAAAAGATATCACGATATAGCGAAATAAAATTAGCAAAATCAGATGAACCCCAACTCCCACCAACAGAAACAGCAAACAGACTCAATGATTTCTTCTCCACTATAGGACAAAACCTTGCCAATAAAATCCCAAGCTCAGATACCCCACCAAATGACTACCTCACCGGCAACTACCCGAACACACTGTTCCTAGCTCCGACTAACCCATACGAAGTCTCCCTTATTATCAACGCACTAAAAAACAAGGCAGGAGATTTAAATACCTTACCACCCTTTATATACAAAAAAGTGTCACAAGTGCTATCACCAATCATTGCAACACTCTTTAACAAATCCATTGAATCCTCCACCTTCCCTACAGTACTCAAAATAGCAAGGGTCACCCCGATCCACAAAGGAGGAGACCAAACAGAGTTGAATAACTATAGGCCAATATCCAACTTACACCCTCTCTCAAAAATCTTCGAAAAATTAATTCATAAACGAATCTACTCCTACCTTATCTCCCAAAACATACTCAACCCCTGCCAATTTGGATTCAGGCCTAATAAAAATACTAATGATGCTATTATACACATGCTAGAACATATATACACTGCAATAGAGAAAAAAGAAGTCCCACTGGGGATCTTCATTGACTTACGTAAAGCTTTTGATACAGTTGACCATGACTTGCTCCACGTAAAAATTATCACACTATGGTATAAGAGGGCACTCCCTCAACTACCTCAAGTCATACCTCAGCAACAGAAGCCAATATGTGTACGCAAATGGGGCAAACTCTTCTGCACAACCAATTACAGTTGGTGTCCCACAGGGAAGTGTCCTTGGCCCTCTTCTCTTTCTCCTATACATAAATGACCTACCAAATGCTTCTCAATTACTCAAACCCACACTATTTGCTGATGACACAACATACGTCTTCTCCCACCCGAGCCCAGTCACGCTAGCCAATACTGTAAATACCGAATTACAGAAAATATCTACCTGGATGAGTACTAACCAAACTTACACTAAACATTGACAAAACCTACTTCATTCAGTTTGGTAACAGAGCTACAGATGTCCCTCTTAACATAATGATAAACGGATCACCTATCACAAAGCTAACAGAGGGAAAATTCTTAGGAATCCACCTTGATAATAGACTCAAATTTCATACACATATACAACAAATTTCTAAGAAAATTTCCAAGACTGTAGGCATACTATCGAAGATACGGTACTATGCTCCACAGTCAGCCCTCCTGGCCCTATATCACTCTCTTATTTACCCCTATCTCACCTATGGAATTTGTGCATGGGGCTCAACAACAAGTAACCATCTCAGACCACTAATTATCCAACAAAAGGCTGCAGTTAGAATGATAACAAATTCTCACTACAGGCAGCACACTCCACCAATATTCAATACACTCAACCTACTCACCATACAAAACATCCATACTTATTACTGCACCTATTACATACATAGAACACTCAACTCTGATATTAACCCTCCCCTCAAACATCTCCTTGCCAACCTCAACAGAACACATGACCATAACACAAGGCACAGATCACTCTTTGATATTCCTCGTGTCCATCTCACGCTATGCAAAACTCAATGCACATAAAAGGCCCTAAATCGGGAATTCATTACCTGTAAATATAAAAGAAACACTACCTGTTTATAAATTCAAGTCTCTTCTCAAAGATCACTTACTCACCCAAAACCAAATAAATACTGAATAACTGAACCTTATAAATTGTATATCTTAAATGTTTCTCACAATTATATCAAAATAAATGTTAAACCTAAAACCCAATCTAACTTTATTATTTTTTAAATTCACTACCTAACAGAATACTCCATTCTACTGAATTTACAACAATGCATGCAACCATATGACCTGTCTTTGTAATACTCACTTGTGCTTTATAGTAATCAGTTTACATTAATGTTTTTCACTGATTTCATCATTGCTTAGTTAATCTTAAGTTAATTTTAAGCCAGCCCGTAATGCTATGCATAGTATAAGTGGCTTTGGCATGCTGCTCTTATCTGTATTTTTTTTTGTACCTCTGTAAGTGTGCTCAAATTATAAATAAATAAATAAATAAATAAATAAATAAATAAATAAAAAAGGAAGGTTCCTTAAATAAATTAATAAAATATTTATTTATTTGCAATGGTTACAATGTGTGTTTACATATCATAATATGATTGGAGCAGAGAAAGCCACTATCATGCTGAGGCATTTCAGGAAGACTTAACCTAATACTTATAGACTACTAAAGTCTAGACAGGTGAAAAGTGTACTAGTAGTAGTTACCAATGTTTTGCTGATGGTGGTGTCAACTATTGGCAGCCTTTTGAAGTTTCTGTTATTATTATTACATTGTATTATTATTATTATTATTATAATAATTATTATTATTATTAGTATGTATGTGGCAATGGGCTCTTGATCTATGGAACTGGATCTGTGCTCCAGTTCCCTAAACTAATAATAATAATAATAATACATATGTAATAATACTTACATACTACTACTACTGCTACTACTACTGCTACTACTACTAATAATAATACAATATAATAGTAATAATAATGTGTTGTCATTTTTAGACATTTTTCGTATTTTTTTTTGTCATATTTTTGTGTCAAATGCTTCAAACTAGAAATTGGTAACCCTCTGGGTGGCTGTAGGTACAGCTGCTACAACCATGGCTACCTCAGTGCCAACCAAGAGTCAAAGGAAGAGGAGGTATGCCGCTCTGAGTGATTGCAGCAGACCCATGGGATGTGTAATTTTGTCTTATATTGTACAAATTTCTTACACAATGCCTCACCCAAAGAGACAGTATTTGTGTACAATCAGCAAGAAGCGATTAGAAACTATGAAAAAAGCTAGAGAAACGAAGGCAGCAGCAGCAGAGTGGGGCAGCTGGCCGTCACCACCACCACTGTGGCCACAGTGACCATGTCTTCACCTATATATATATACATCTGTCTTGACCACACCTGTGGTTACATATGTGACAACCTCACCATTAATCATAGATAAACACAAGCTAGGTGTGGGGTTATGGACAGGGAAGATACTAGAGTGGGACAGTAAATGGCGGATGCTTTCTGCTGCTGCCGGTGTCGCCGTCACTTGCCATATTAAGGCCTATTTTATTCATTCTAGTGTATATATCATGTTATTAATATTGTTTATTATGTCATATTAGATGAATTGTGATAGATAACTAAGCCACTGAGTTGATATTAGCATTATTTTGTCATGCGTCCTAGGAGGCTGGAATGGATTAATTGCATTTCAATTAATTTAAATGAGGAAAATTGACTCAGGATACGAACAAGGTCATGGAACGGATTAAATTCATAAGCAGAGGTTCCACTGTATATGCAACAAATAATGTTAGGTATCTAAGGATTGACAGATAGCATACAAGGTTCCTTACTATAAAGGAAAAGGCAAAAGGAGTATGTTTAAGAAT